AAAAGCTGTTCCTGTTCAATCCATTACAGCAACTGCTCATGGCAGGCAGAAGGGGTGAAGTGCAAACATCTGTAGTTTGGCTTAACTTCTTCAATTCCTGTTATGTAAGTCAGTGTATAACTTCACCTACAAATGGTATTTGGTCCTCTCTCCGTTGCACAGGAATGTCCTTCCTGGATGACATCTGATACCAACTGATCTGCACTTTTTGTGTAATTCTGTTAATGGGAAAAGGCACTGAGGAACTGCAAGAATGAATTGGCCTCCCTGTGAGTCACGAGGTACCAGCTGCTGGATTTGGATGAAAAATAGGAAGTAATAAGTATCACGTGCCCTCAACCCAAACAAGCAGCTGACTGAGTCTTCTGGGAAGAAATTTATGTCCAATCAGTTGTCAATCAGCAACTGGTTTCTCTGGAAACCAAATATTAAGCCATTCTGAGTGATACGAAACAAAAGAGTTCTTGTGTCTAGAGCAGAGTGAAATAAGTACGAAATTCATCTGCCCCCTGCACTCAGCATAAACCACACAACACATCACTTTGTTTTAATCTTGTTACTAACTGCAAAAATATTGCAATTCTGCACTTCTCCAGTTCTGCAAGGGCCGTGGGCAGACAACCTGATATGACTTCATTTAATTATGAAGTTAGAGAGAAATTATTATGGGAAATGCCATGCACATGCTCAAAACTGGAATGTGGCAAAGATCCTCGTGAGCTTCTGCTATCTGGTAATGATTCTTACAGCATTTTTTCTCAAAATGCACATTTTGAAGCAGGTGAGTGGTGTTATGCCTGCCAAATAAAAAAAGGGAGATGAAACACATTTTAAAAGCCCGATCTTGGGCTTGAAGAACAGCGTGAATTCCACAATGTGTTGCTGCAGAAACAAAAACTATTTGCCAAAATAAACATTCAGGAATATGTAATTGACTATTTGTAGACTTCTTGCTCAGTAATACAAAAAATAGATTCCCTGGAGGTATAGAAATGCAATTTGTAGAGTAAATCCACTTGTAACTGTTAATTCACTGATCTAAACCCCAGAACATGCAGATATAACAGAACTGGCCTTTATTTTGCATTAGTTTGACACTCCTGTATTTCTGGTCCTTTTTCCTAATTTCAGCCCATTCTCCTAAATATTCCTTTCTACCTCCTTACACTTCTTTCCCCCCCCCACCCCCTCCAAGGTCTTACACTTAGAGATTCAGCTGTGCAATCAGCATGTGATCTCATCAGCATGCCAGGAGAAATTCCCAGAGCACCTGACCCTCAACAGTTGGTTGGAAGCACCCCCAGACCGGGGTTGTTTTGTGGTGGGACGGAATTGGCTGCGAGTCCCGGTAGAAATGAGCTCATCCCAAGGAGCGAGCTGTGCCTGGGGTCCCCTGACCTCTGTGGGAACAGTGTGTGTGCAGCCTGCAGAGCACTGATTTCATGGAGTACGTATTTACCAGCTGCAGCCAGGATTTAGTGCCCAGTTCTGAGTGCTGCCTGTGCTGTCACCGAGGTGAGGAGGCATTCACAGCTGGCAGTGCCTGCAGGACTGATGTTCAGCCTGTAACACTTTCTTCAGTTGCTTGCAACAATTTGTTTTCACAGGGAAATACTTATTTCTCCATTTTATTCAGCGTGTAAACGTTTCAGGCACAGGGAGAAATGTTACATGGAGGGATGGAGGCCAAATGCATCAAGAGTGGCCCTAAAAGCAAGTAATGCCTTTAAGTGCTACCTAGTGTTGCCATAGGAAAGCTTTTAGGTGGTGAGGTTTTTGGGAAGTAGCTTTGCAAAGGTGGTAACTGTTACCTCCCCAGGGCTCATTAAAGCAGGATGGTGCTCTCTTGTCTCAGGTTGTCAGGCCTGGTGTGAGGGCGGGTCAGGGATCTGGTGTCCTGTGGGAAAGTGGCATCCGTAGCTCAGGGAAAGCAGAGGGTGCTCTTGGCAATAAAAGACATGGGACATGTAATTATCTAATGATTTCACAAGTATGATCTTCTACTGTGCAATGAAACAGAGACTCTTTGCACACCCTTTGGTTTGTATCAGTTTTTGCTCTTTTTGTTTGAATCCTTACATTGAAAATAATTCAGTCCAGGTATTCCTGGACTTAAGGTTTGTACCTAAGATGTCTTTAATATTTCTGCAGATGTTTCAATTTCCATGCAGTTATCTGGCTTTCATTGTGAATGTGAAGAAATATGGGGGGAAATTTAATCTACTGCCCTTTGATGATGTGCAGAAGCACAACCAGTCCTGTAGCAGATGAGTAAATTGGTTGCTCAGAGAGGTTGTAGATCCCCATCCCTGGAAGTATCCAAGGCCAGGTTGGACAGAGATTGGAGTAACCTGGTCTAGTGGAAGGTGTCCCTGTCCCAGGTGTCCCATGGCAAGGGGGTGGAACAAGATGACCTTCAAAAGTCCCTTCCAACCCAAACTATTCTGTGATTTTGTGAAACAAAAAATACTTTAAATATGATCTGCACAGTTACAGCAACATCCAAAGCTGTCGTGTCTTTTTAAGAATCACAATATCAGTTTTGGATAATAAATATAAGCATAATCATCAAAATGTGAAACAGAAGGATTTTAGCAGCACATTCCTAATTTAGAACTTTCTTCGGTGCTATCTCCAGAATGCTCAATGCAACCATGGCTGTTGTATCCAGGTGGAATAAGCTGGGAGGTTTGCACAGCTTTGTAGTAGGAAAATACTCATTCAAAGGAAGAGGAAAGAAGATGCCAAACAATGCTGCATTCCAGCATGGAATTGCTAGGAAATGCAAATTCTTAGGTGGAATGGGGATTGCTCTGGGATGGCTGTGGTGCTTTTAAAAAGCTTGGGTTAATATGCTAATGGGAAATGTGAGAGTGTTTTGAATGAAGAGGACAGAGACACAGAAAATGATTACCAAAGCTATTACAGTTTTTAGCTCAAGCCAGGATTAGTGATGTGTTCCAAGGTATATGTAAATCACCAGCAGCTTATTTTTCTTTAAATTGGCAATAAGAAAACGGTTCTGTTTGCTTTCATTATGGTAAAGCTAAGGAGTTCTTGATTTCTTTGACCTCGGTGACAACTGACCTACAGTCTGTAAATTAAAGAATAAAAGCCCACGTTATTTTTACATTCTTCTCTGAGGTTATTTTTGGTGTCCTTAAAACGGCACAAGTGGTTAGAGCTGTGCCCTTGGGTGACAAACCCCTGTGGCCGTGCCTGTCTCCAGCCCTTGTGCCCAAAACCTGTCTGTGGATTAAGGCGTTGGAGCTCCCTGTAACAGGAGGGGATTTCCCGGGGGCTCTGGGTAAAGGAAAGTTGCAGTTCAGGCAGGAAATCGCACGTTCGTTGGAAGTTCTGCGGTTTGATTTGTATAATGTCATTTTAGAGCAGAAAAACTTCCCTGCGCAGCTGTAGGCGTGTGCTGTGCGTGTGTTCACGGGGGTTAAAGGAGCAGCAAGATGGGGATTGAACCTTTCTGTCAAAGTACCACAACCCGGGGCTTAGAAAGACAAGAGATCATAAGCACCTTAATTAATATTTTGGGCCCTCTGAGGCAATGGGAGGTTGATGTATCCGTTTAATAACGCTGTACATAAAGGTTTGCGATTCCTGCCTGGGAACAGCGTCGCTGGTTACTTGGGTTTTGTTACAGAAACGCGAGACCGCAGCACCCGGGTTAAATAAAATGGTGATGGTGCCGTATTTACCAACTCGCAGGGTGTCGTTTCATTTTAAAATTAAAATGAGAAAAGAGAAATCGGGGGGTGGGGTGGGGGAGGCGAAAATAACCCTTTGTGTGATAGAACTGCGGAGCGCATTGTAAAAAACATGCGGGGCCGCGTGGGGGAAGCAGCGGAACCCCGGGCACCGCCGCTGCCGGGCGCGGGGGGCAGGAGGCGGAGGGATGGAGATGAGGATGTGGCCGTGGATCGGGATGCGGGTCGGGAAGGGGTTCCCCCGCGTACGTGCGGCGCCGCAGGTCCGCAATGAGCCCGGCGGGCGCGGCCGGGGCCGTGCCGGGGGAGGCGGTGGCGGAGGCGGGGCCGCCCCGCCCGCTCTGCGGCCACAGGCACAGCCCCGGCGGCAGGTACGGCAGCGGCCCCGCGCCCGGGACTGCGTGCTGGGCTGCGCTCGGCTGTTTTGGGGGTATTCGCTGGTTGTTGTTGTTTTTTTCTTCCCCGCGGAGCTGACGAGCTGTGGGTCGTGCCCGCCAGCCCGGCGCGGGGGGCTCTGAGGGGCCGGGGTGCGGTGTGTGTGTGTGGGGGGGGGGTCCCGCTCCCCGTGCCGCCTGAGGGGGCACCTTCTCCGGGGGGCTCGGCGAGCCGTGTCCGCCCCGCACCGCCCCTGGAGGGGGGGCCGGCGGCGTTTGCGGGGTCACTGCGGGCGGGGGCATTGCGGGGCATTGCGGGGCACGTGAGCGGCGGGGCCGCCCCGGGACCGCCCGGCGGGGCGGGCGCGGCAACAAAGGGCGGCGGGGCCGGGCCGGACAGGACAGGACAGGGGGTCGGGCTGGCGCTGCTCGTGCGGGTCTCACCCTTCGCCCCGCTCTCTCCTGTCCCGCAGCCCCGGCCGCCAGGACCGCGCCGCACCCGCGACAGCGCCGGGCTGTGCCGGCCGCGCCGCAAATGAAGTGCGAGAACTGCACCAAAAAGGTGAGTGCGGCGGCCGCGTCCTGCCCGGACCCCTCGGCTGGGGAGGGGGGCACAGTCCCGGGGGTTGGGAACGCGGCCGGCGGGGACTCCCCAGTGCCGGGGTTAGCCCGGCAGGCCGAGCGGCGCTGGCCGCCGGCCCCAAGGTCACCGCGCTCCGCGTCCTCCCGGGAGCCCCGCGGCCGCACACGGAGCCCTCCGCTCCCCTCCGCTCCTCCCCGGGGCTGACACACCGCCCGGCACTCCAGAACTGATGGAGCACAGCGGTTCCTGCGGAGGAATCGCTTCCATCGCAGCGATTGCACTTTGAACGCAAGGCCTCGCGTGTGAAGGGGCAGAACGAACCGTGCCAGAACGCTGCAAAGTAACGTACCATTAGTGGTTAAATGGTACACACAGAGTACTGAAGGGGTGCTTATGGAACGCTGAACGGGCTCGGCACGATCCCTGTATTTTCTGTTTTGTTTCAGGAATGCAGTAAAAAACAGAAAAATGATGGTACACAAAGCACATCTGTTGATGCATTGAGTTCAAACGATGGCTTTGAAGAGGTAATGTTCCTTCTGTAAACTGTAATGTGCTCTATTTGTATTCTTTTGTTGTTGTGTACCCTAAGGGAGGTTATAAGGAGACGACTTTCAAGTCCTAAACATAGCAATAATGAACAAGCAGTTGTAAGCAATCTTGAGCTCTTGTAGAGAATGAAAAATCGTTTCAAAAGGTGAAATAAAAGCCCATTTTGAGTGTCAAAAATCTTATATCAAGTCTTCAAAACAGACACAGAACTTGAGAGGAGTTTTGATAGTAAAAGGGCACAAAATGTCTTTGTATCTAAGTTTCTTTCTTAGCTGCCAATGGTTGTCATAGCAAATGTATGACGCTCTTGATCACACTTTTTTCCCCCCCTTAGAAAAATGAGTTTGATACTCTGGCTAATGCTAAAATACTCCTTAGCGACTGCTTAGCCTGTGACAGTTGCATGACATCGGAAGAAGGAGCCAGAGTTTTCCAGCAGAACCAGAAGGAGTTCTTTCGTGTTCTCAACCTTAATAAGGTAAAGTGACCCCAACAATAACACACAGTTTTCTGTGAGGAGGAGGAGGCAGTTACAGAATGACTAAGCAGCTTGGTTTCCCAAGACAGATATCGTGAAGATTGGTCAGGATATGCTTTTTCCGAAGAGGAAGTGAAAACTTGAAGCAAGATGAATGATAAAGTAACTTTAAAATAATTTTGCACTAGAGTTGTGAGGTCACAGCATTTCACCTAAATTCTGGAAGGAAGTTACTGCACCTGCAGAAGGGCAATTTATTGGAAATGTAACTCCCTCATTACTCTACTAACAAATTAGTCTTGTAATTCAGTATTTATAGATATTCATACCTTTATTACTAGGACTTCTGTAAACATTAGTTTGCTTGATATTTAAACATAAAACTTTGTGCATATTTGCTAGAACCTTTCATATTGCTAGAACATCATGGGTGCTGAATGTCTCTTAACATTCCTTATGCCATGTGGAGACCAAGCAAAGGATTGTCCTAGAGGACAGATGGATTATATAAAAGCAACATCTACAGATGATTAAACACTGGCAGAATCAGAGGAACACCCTGTCCTGCCCCAACTTGATGGTTGTTTCACAGGGTTTGTAATGATACGGCTCACTGAAGCATAAGACACCAAGGAATAACTCCAGGAGTGGAAAAAGCAGGGAAAGCAAGGAGCTTTACCCTGTCATAATGACATATCTTTTTTTTTTTCTTTGTTTTTGTTTACCAGAAATGTGATACCTCAAAACACAAAGTGTTGGCAGTGTCTCTATGCCCTCAGTCATTGCCTTATTTTGCTGCTAAATTCAATCTCTCTGTGAATGAAGCAGCCAAGAGACTCTGTGGTTTCCTCAAAAGTCTTGGTAAGTTTGGGGTTGTTATGGTGGTGGAGCAGAAAGGGGGGACTGGTTTAGTTCTTTTGCTTTCCCAGCAGCCTTCCAGTACCTGAAAGAGAGCTGGAGAGGGGCTTTTGACCATGAAAGAGGGGAGATTTAGATTGGATACCAGGCAGAAATGAGGGTGGGGAGGCCCTGGCACAGGTTGCCCAGAGAAGCTGTGGCTGCCCCATCCCTGGCAGTGTCCAAGGCCAGGTTGGACGGGGCTTGGAGCAACCTGGGCTGGTGGAAGGTGTCCCTGCCCATGGCAGGGGGTGGAACTGATGATTTTTAGGGTCTCTTCCAACCCAAATCATTCTGGGACTCTATTCCTTGATATTTTCTTGTGCAGCCAGAAGGTGCCATTGCACAACTTAGGTCAGAGTTTGAGCTCCTCACTCTCTGATTTCTGGGGGGCACCAGGGACACAGAGCTGTGTCAGACAAGGACTGGAAACATTCCCTGTTCCCAGCAAAGGTCATGGCATAGAAGGACATTGTAGAGCTGGCTCCAAAGCCTCCACTACCAAGAAATCAGGGAGGATTTATTCATGACCTTCAATAAGATTTCCTTGTATTTTGTAACTTGAGGGAGGAGGGAATTCTTACCCTAAATTCCTTCCAGTCCTTTTGACACATTAAATCTCCAGAAGATTGTCAGTTCTGGTTTTTTTCCCTATAATTTGAAATTACATGCAAGAACTGTTGTATCTGCCTGTTTTGTGTTAAAGCTGTATTTCCTTTGCTCATTATGCTATTTATATAAGTTTGGAATTTTTTTTTTTCATTTACTTTTTTCCATTACGGTAATAAACCTATAAAGTGTTTCCATATGTATATATCTATAGATATTCATTTCTCTTAGTTTTTATGATGCATCTTTGTACCCAGTACATTTCCTTCCCCTAAAAGCACTGCTGAGTTGTGGTGGGGCTCATTTCTTTTCTTAGAACATACTCATTTATCAATGCCTCGCTTGCTGTGGGGATGTGCTCAGTGTTATGTTCATAGGGCCAGCAGGTCTGCAGTGTTGCTGATATGCTCTTGCACCTCTGCAGACAAATTCACCAAGGGGAGATAGAACTGGAAGTATTTCTTTTGTGGATAATGAAATGTGACTTCAGCATGTCTTGAAAAGAACACTCCTTTACAAGAGTCCCTGTGAGTCACCCAGAGTCATGAAATCCCTTCAATTAAACCAAAGCAATGGATGCTGAATGGCAAACTCCTCTGGAGGAGGCAGAGAACTGTCTGAAGTGTTGCCTGCAGCATGAGCAAGCTGGTGGTCCTTTGAAATTTATGACACAGAAAGGAGTTTTTCAGTGTATGGCCTTCATTTATTTTCTAAACATTTGGAGCAGGAAAAGAATACACTCAGTGATCCTCCCAAGGTTTTCCATAGGCCTGGAACTCTGAGAGATGCCCCATGCCCTGTTCCTTTCTGCTTGCTTCCCCAGGGGTGCATTATGTGTTTGACACCACCATAGCTGCAGATTTCAGTATCCTGGAGAGCCAGAGGGAATTCGTGCAGCGGTACCAGCGGAGGAACCAG